CGAGAGATTCTGGCACGCGACCGCGATGTGGTGCCTGAGATCAGCGAGATAGTCGATTTCTCCGCCACCGTGGACCACCCTATTGAACTCCGCCCGAACTAATTGAGGGGATTCAGGTCAGGTGACCTACTTGGATATTCCATCTTCTTTAGGTACTCAACCCCTTCCATTCCAAGTAGGCGAGAGTTTTCCAACGCCCTTCAATTTCATGTGGTGTCACCCAATCCTGTAGCAGTACAAAGTTTCCAAGAAGGTACGGGCGACGACATGTGGAGGAGGATATTCTTCTACAAATTGCTCGATGTAACCGCCAGCGCTCTCTTTCCATTCCAGGTACGTCCGGTCCATACCATCAACCCGCGCCTTGGCGACTGTGGTGAAGATGATGTCCTAGACCGTGGCGACGTTGTCGGAGCTGCTCGATGGAGATCTTCCAGATTAGCAGAGTATGTCTCCAGTAGCTATCCATGGGTGACTCCACACTAGAAGTTTCGCAGCTGTTTGGAGGTGACATGAATTCCAAAGGTCTTCTCCAGTCAGGCTGCGACTGGAGATGACTTCATATTTTGGTGTACATGAAGGTGATGGGCGAGAGCCAGCTCCTGCTTATCGAGGAACATCTTGGGTATTCCGCCCTGGTACTCGTATCCACGTCCTCTGTCTGGGCAGCGAAAACTTTGCTGATATGTGACTCGGTCGAAGTGAGTTTTTTTGCCCCCCCCCTGTGTACCCAAGCGAGCACAAGTGCGCGCTCAAAATGCTGACGCAACGTATGAACGCACTCAATAGAGCCTTTATCGACCAAGCCCATGTGGAACTTATTCATATTATGTAGATGAAAGCGTTTCATCTGACAAGAAGAAAAAGAAGAAGGAGAAGGCAGAGACGAGTGTTATCTTTGAGCCTATGGGTGGAAGTGTTGCTCTTGATGAGGAGTCTGCTGCACAGTCAAAGAAAAAGAAGAAGAAGCTTGAAGCAAGGCTAGACTCTTCCGCCCCAGAACTGAAGATGGAGGAGGTTATTGTTGCCTTATACACTTTGGCTGTAATTGACTGTGGGAGTAGAATACTGCAATGATTGCCAATCCTTAAACTATGAGCCTTGGATGTGTTTGTAGAAGAACATTTCTGCCGCTTCCCCTTTCTCCGTGACGTAATCGCGCGTTTTTGCGGGATTAACTGGTCTTGGTGTAAGCCTTAACTCCCTCTCTTACCATCCTCCACCAGAGCACCCTCTACAATGCCGTTGACTCCACTGCCTTCATTTCAGCGCTGTCCTTCTTGTAGGTATTGGAGGCATTCTTGGGCGTTTTCCACAGCTCAGAAATCCTTTGGGATTCTCAGAGATCCTCACTGAAGGCCCAACGTGACATCTACAATGCTTTGCGCAGTCTGTATAGACTGGGTCTCAGGATATCTGTCAACCGCGGAGCCTTCCTCTTTCTTCCCTTTTCTTTCCTCCTTCCTTCTTTTTCTTCCTTTCTTTTCTCATCCTGCGTCCTCATTTTTCTTCCCCTGAATGCTCGAACAGAAGATGCGATGAGAGAACATCTCTGGACCCTAACAGCGAGAGACCATCCGGTTTGACAGATGTTTTTAACCGTCAAACTGTCTAGGCAAATCTCCAAAGTTTCTTCACGCAGACAAGATCTGGAATCTTCCGTATCCTAAAGTCGCTCGAGCACTGGTCAAAGTAGACCGTTGAACACCTTCTCAATTTACCAGAAAGACTACGTAGCGGGAACAAGGCTTCTCTCAGTACTTCCTCACTTATCCATCATCACCAGACTAGCCTTATTGACATCCGCAAGGAATATTTGGAGCTAGACAGCTTCACAAGAATGCTGAGTTATGGGCAAAAGTCGGACCACGGACGGGATTCGAACCCGCATCTTCTGCTTACCGGGCAGTTGCGTTCCCTATTACGCTACCGAGGCCACTTTTGACCACTCAGCTCAATGGCTATTTGTGCCATAGCCTTACAGCACTCACACGTTCAACGTGATGAAGACTTGTAAGAGCCTAGCTGTTTGTGCCAGATAGGGCCAAGTTCCTGGGCCTCGACTTTGTTATCGCCCGTAAAGTTCTGTTGTATGCACAGTCAACTTGGACGCTGCGGTAGTTGGCATTTCGTCTGGCGTGCTCTTTCCCTTTGATTGGCCATAAACAATTGGTACTGCTCATTAGCATTCATGGCTGGATTTGAAGCGTCCATGCAGGTCGAAAAGCGGCCGTCCGGTGTCACTGCGAGCCTGCGTGTTCGCGGTGTGGGCGCGAGCGATAGTCGTGCATGGGCGGTGCTGGGCCTGATGTGTGCGTGCGTGGTAGGCGAGCTCACTTGATCTTCACTTCGTCTCGCGATTCTGGGCGAATTTACAAAACAATCACTTATTGCCCTCAGCATATGAATATACCAGTTCTTCTGATTTTGATATTCAGCTAACTCTACTCCCCTAAGATCTTCTCGTAATCGGACTCTTCTTATTATTTTTTATTAGGTGATATAGCTTACACCCTCAAAAAAGAAGAAACGAAAGGGGTCCGAAACGAAGGAAGTTACTGAGGAAGTGAGGATTGATGGTATGTTTGTTTTAGTCTCTGTCCGTTCACTTCCTTTCAACTGTGTAGTAACTTAAAACGCGGATGAGAAAGAAATCGGTCGATATCGAGAGAAACTGTGGAAGAAAAGAAAGAAGGCAGAGGATGTTGACGTTTTGTTTGACACGGTGACAAAGGAAGCTGATACCGAAGAGACACCGCGGAAAAAGAAGAAAAAGCAGGGTGATCCCGTTGCGACTGTGACCACGAAACAACCCGAAGGGTACACTATTGTTATACCATTTTCACTTTTAAATCGGACACTTTGTGGCGAAGATCATAGAGTGCGTGTACGAGCTTTTTCAAATCAATCGGACACTTTTCAAATCAAATCGGACAGTTCAAAGCCAGAAGTCGAGCGACGGTGTCAAAATCGAAATCGGACACTTTCAAAACCAAATCGGACACTTTTCAAACCAAATCGGACACTTTTCAAACCAAATCGGACACTTCAAACCAAATCGGACACACCCCTTACAATTAGGTGGTTGATAACTAGATCACGCTAGGTACTGCTGCAAGCCCCGCCCCATTATCCCGCCCTTTTCTCAGCGCGGACAGGTTTTCCGAGATGCTTCATGAAATCTGAACCCTCGACTTTTATCGGTTTTTGCCCTTGCGACACACACTCACTGGAAAAGCTTGATCCTATACAACCTGGGACTCGCCCATTATACGATGTAAGTGACGTGAGCTTCTGAATTTTGTATAACTTTTTTTCGACCTATCCTTTTCAACATTCAATCGTTGCACGAGTACGATTAGCAAGGCGATGTCGCGTGAGCTAGGAGCCCCGCCCCTCTGACCCCGCCACTGTGTTATCGTCGATTTTGGTATTTCTGCCAGACTGTCGCTTTGTTAGCTTATAGCAAGTGCTCGCCACCAATTGGAAGCTCGCGCCACTTCTGGGGACGCCCCGCCCGAGTTGCTGAAGCAGTGATGCGATGGAGTGTCGGGGCGGGCTAGTGTCCGTACTGCAGACTACGGCATCTCCCGGCACATAAAGTGAAAAAAGCGGAAAGAAACGTGGTTAAACAGGGAATTTGAATCTGCAGCGAGCGTGAGATGTCTGTAGTTCTGCAGTACGGACACTAGCCCGCCGATTTGCATCATTTTCGAAAAGTGTGGGCGGGGCTTCCCCAAAGTGGGCGGAGCTTCCATTGGTGGGCGGAGCCAATCGCTAAAGCCTAAAATCTGGATAGATAATACCAAATTCGCGACGATAAACAGAAGTGCGGCGGGGGGTCAAGAGGGGCGGGCTGGTGAGCGGAATGCTTGGCTAATCGTGTTGTAAGAGTTTGAATGTGAAAAGGACTACGTGCTGAAAAAATTATAAATATCAGTAAGCTGCACTGTTAACGTTCATCGGTAATATTCGGAGTCAGATCTGTATAAGCGAGGTGATATCAAGCTTTTCAGTTGAAGTGTGTGTGCAAAGCGCAAAAACGAAAAAAAGTCGAGGGAGCAGATTCATGAAGCATCTCGGAAAACCTGTCCGCGCTGAGAAAAGGGCGGGATAATGGGGCGGGGCTTGCAACAGTACCTAGTGTGATCTAGTTATCAACCACCTAATTGTAAGGGGTGTGTCCGATTTGATTTGAAAAGTGTCCGATTTGGTTTGAAAAGTGTCCGATTTGGTTTGAAAAGTGTCCGATTTGGTTTGAAAAGTGTCCGATTTGGTTTGAAAAGTGTCCGATTTGATTTGAAAAGTGTCCGATTTGGTTTGAAAAGTGTCCGATTTGATTTGAAAAGTGTCCGATTTGGTTTGAAAAGTGTCCGATTTAAAGTGAAAATGGTATATATAAATCAAAAACTTGGGCGTTTTTCCGCTGGAAGGTTTCTACACTTTCGCTAGTTCCTTTTCTTGGCTCTAGCCAACTGTCTCGTTTTGGTGAGGTCGATAAACTCTTGGTAGGCCGCAGAATGGTATAAACGCGCATTTTGGATACAAGAGTTCACAGGCCTTCACAAGGTGATCTAAACAGGCCGATTCGCAGAGTAACCTATATTGGTGCCCCCACGCGAGATGATTTGCTGCCAAAAAGATCTTCGTAAAATTCTTGCGGCTTGAGTCTGTCTGTGTCCATTTTGTTTCATCTTCCTCCCCAGTACTGGTTATAACCAGTTATATCATTAGGATCCTCAAGCTGAAGCGCGCACCTCCACATATCACCGAGGTGGACTGGAGATGCGGCAAGATAGACGCTCGAAGGAGGGGTTATAAGCTCACGTGACAACAGCAAGGTGAAATCGAGGAAAGTCAACAAGCAGAAACATTTCTCTCAGAAGCAAATACGATTCTCCTTTCCCCAGCGACCAAATACGACCCATCTCGGTGAGATTCCCTACGTAAGACGCACCCTGTGAATAAATAACCCTGTAAATACTTCTAAAGAATCTTCCAACCACAAATCTTTTTTAGGCGAATATGTGGTTGGATCTTGTCAAGTATCTTCGGTGGAGGCTCGGCAGCTACATCCCAAACAGGTAAAGCCATTCATATTGGGTAATTACCCTTTGAGTCGTCGAGCTGATGCTTATATGACCCCAACTTCTACATGTTCGAATAAGGATATGCGGCTAAGCATTATTGTATTTGCACCAGGAGAACCAGTCCCACTGTTAAAAGGTGAAACGGTGATCAAACCAAAAGTGAAGAAAGCGGTCAAAGAGCCCAGTGTTGATGTCGAGCAGAAAGAGTCAAGCTCTCAAGAAGAGACGCCTGCCAAACAGAAAGATCGCGTGCAGCAACGGTGAGTGATTTGGGTTTGTGAAAATACTGGCTTCTGGTTCACTTTGTAATTTTTGGTTGCAGAGAGAACCGTAAAAAGGAGCAAAAAATGAGTCTGGACGAGAAAAAGCGCACACTTTTCGTCGGCAATGCTCCGTTGTCCATGGACGAACGATCGTGTAGGAAGCTGTTTGCTCAGTACGGCCCAGTAAGTTTTCTTTCTGATCTTGTATTGTTCGGGCTACTGTATGGTACGCCATTTGAGTCCTTCTTCCTTTCAGATAGAGTCCGTACGGATGAGAAGCGTTGTACCAGCTAAACAGACAATCACGAAACGCATCGCTCATATTGCCCATGAGTTCCATGAAAAGCTGAATTCGTTGAATTTCTACATTAAATTCAAGGATGAAGAGTCGGTGAAAAAGGCTCTGACCTAGTGAGTCGCACTTTTTTTCCTTCCCTGTAGGATGTGTTTTTGTTATGAGCGGTATTAGGTTAAGAGCGTCCGTTTTTATGAGAACCCTTTTTGAGCCGTTGTCTTATGAAAACATTTTCGTGTACGAGGAACTTTTCCCTTCCCCTCCTCTACTGCTCAGCGGCTTCTTTTCTTAGCAATAATCGGGAAATTCGGGAAATTTCGGAAAGTGGTTGGAAGTTGAGAAGATCTTCAAGGTAGTAGAGAGGATGGAGATCGGAAAGCGGAGCGCACCTTAATCCCCACCTTACTTAGTTATATTAGAATTTTCAGTAACGGTACGATCCTTGAAAGGCATCGTATCCGCGTCGACACCTGCACAACAAAGGCAGAATATGATCGTAATCTGACGGTTTTCGTAGGTATGTTTTAAAAAACTCTTTTCTTTATCTGAAACCTGGAAACTTCTTTCCTTTCTTTCTCTAAAAGACAACCCGGGCCACTTCGATGACGCGGAGGGGCATTTTGCACTTTTGCTACTTCCCATCGACGTGTCGAGCCATCTAGAGAGCTATTTCATGAGCTTACAAGAGTTGACAGGTTTTACCATGGTGGCTCGACGAGCTTGCTCCAGCTTCACAAAAGTCACAGGTTTCACCAGAGTGAGACTTGTAAACGGATATAGTTAGTCAGCGAAAAAGCCAAATGCCACCACTGCCCCCCCTCCCTCCCTCTCCCCCTCCCTTCCCGCCCTCCCCGTCGCCGACTCGCGTCGACAACCCCTCTGGCAGCTTAATATGTATAGTCTAATATATATTTTGTCTTAAATAGAATAATACTCACTGATGTTCTCGTGTTAAGGGAAATCTTCCACTGGACGTGAAAGACGATGAGTTAGCAGAATTCTTCGAAGAGAACGTAGGAGGCGTTAGCTTTGTTCGCTGTATAAGAGATTCGTCAAGCGGCATGGGCAAAGGAATCGCATTTGTTGTTTTTAAGGTTAGTTCCTCTTTCAGAGACTGTTATATTGATTCGTACTTACATTAATGAAGGAAGGCACATAATTTTTTTTGAGTGCGAGAGGACAGGGTTTCCAAGAGCCTGCAAGTTATGTGGACAAATTGTCCAGTCCTGCGAAAAGATCAGTTTTTTGCTCTCATTATGCACGCGCGCTGCTCTAGACTGCACAACCATGTCTGTGAGCAGTGCTGGCTTCGCTAATTTTTTCTGGAATGTTGTGTAGAGGCATTACCCAGGCGGCGCCGAACTATTAGGAAAGCCTTCGGAAAAGAAAGTCAGCATTGGCTGTTGGCATTGCTGCAAGAAGTCTATCAGGGTTACCGAGTATGAGTTCGAATTAAGTGGAACTATGGCGGAAGAGAACAATACCGCTCCCCCAAAGCCGAAAACACTTGCCGATGTGCCTTCACGTTCACCCTTTTGAGGCTCCTTTCAGCAGGCTCATCTGTACCCTTCTGAACGCCATCTTTTCGCGGTAAGACCTAATGCAAAACATGCGAGCTTTCACCCAACTATTTAATGACTTTTAAATGTATTTGTCCTTGTTGTGGATCGGAACGCACGAGGCAGCGTAGTCTTTATTAGGTTCGGCAAGCGAAAGCAGCGAAAAAAAGTGAAGCCGAACTCGACCAAAACCAGTCTTTTATACAGGAATGATCCTGTAATCGGCATGAGTATACTATCACTTTGGAGTAAACAAGCTACATCAACTCCTCAGCACCATCCCCCCTACGAAATACGTATGCATAACGTCTTGATTCTTGGGTCCACTTCAAGACGGGCTGAGTGGCTGTCGTGTGGTTTCGCCCTCGTTTTTTCTGCCTGGAGTCCCGCGACTAGCATCTCGAATTCAGCAATCATTTGAAATCGTCGAGGTCTTCCTTTTCCTGATTGTGCCTGCTTCATTTAGCTTCTTTCCTGTGGATTTTTCTTTCACAGATGGACTCATCAGGTATTTCTGCTCTACTGGTAGCGACTCCTTTTGATCTTGGTCAAATTTGGTCAATGTGTCTTCTCCAAAACTGACCATCTTCCGTTCACTTCAAATACATGACTTGAACCCAGAAGGTTCTTCACGCGAACCTGGAATCCATATCTTCTGCAGCAGAGCGGAAGTCCCTTCGTCCATACAGCTCTTACCATCCGACACGACCCTCCTGGTTTTTCCGTGTTGTTCGTTCTTCAACGCTTTCGTTAGCAAAATAACGGATATGGTCACCACTCTTTTGAAAAATGGCTACGAGGAAGATTTTATTATTACTAGCATTGTTAAGTGTATTTATAAAAATAAATTTATAAGTTACAAGTACTCAATCGCAAATAACTATAGAAAGATAAATAGACTAGTCACAGGTTTACTCATTTGCAGCAGTGATCAACACTAATTCCCTTCTTTCCACTATACTTTAATTGATTTATTTCTGGTATACCTTCTCTTATACTCAACATTCTCTCAGTGGTTTTGCCGGTTTACTCCTTTTCCCTTCCTTCCACAAGTATTTACAGCACACTTCGTGTTATAGTATAATTCATCATCATCTTGATGCATGAACTTTGCATGTTACCCCCTTTTTTACAATCTCTCTCTTTTTGTCCTATTTCTCACACCTTCCCCTATGTAGTCTATGTCCTCTTGTCTTCAACCTATCGCACTGATGAGCTCGGGGGTTGGCTAGACAATGATGATTCGTCTGCGATACCGAGCGAAACGGATCATCTGTGTTGTGGAGTGTATTCCTTTCCCATGTTTGTTTTTCTTTGCTTCTAATTGGACTCTGCTGGTGTTCATTGAACTTCGAGGGTAACCCGAGTTCAGTGAAATACCAGTTCCGTCTTACGGGTTATATCTTGTTTCTCAAATACCACACTCCTTCGCTACCTCTTAGAGGCAAATCGCCTCTCGCACCGGTGGTGCTTGCTATTCGGACCGGTGGTCCAATACGCGGCCGGTGGTCGCTCTTCGATTTCAGCTATTTCCATTCGACATACACTACTCACTTCCGTCTATAACTTTTATGTTCTTCTATAGTGATTTTGATTCGAACTGAGGCGACTGCCTCTTGCACCAGTGGTGTTCTTTGGGACCAGTGGTCCTCTTGCGTCGATTGACGTTGCTCTTTGGGACCGATGGTCCTCTTGCGTCGATTGACGTATCCTCACACCTATCTGCTTTCAGACAATTTTCACTATTATATATGGAAATGAACCCTACTACTCTTTCAACTTTTTTCCTACTCTCTTGTATCACGGATTATACTCATATGTGGCACATGTATTACACTTTAGCCTAGGCTATAGATGGTTTTCGTTTCATTTGCTATCCTTGTTTATTACTGGTTGGCCCTGCGCGTTTTTCCTTTCTTTTTTTTTTCTTTTTTTCTACTTTTTGTTGTTAGTGTTAGAACATGACCAGTAACTTCTCACACACTATCATTAACACACTGAGGGGCCATGCCTCTCAAAAAAGAGGGCCATACCTCTTCAAAAAAAATAGGGACTAGCGCTGACGGGGTTATACAAGTCAAAAACGGCAAGAGGGACAGTTTTTGGCGCCCCCAGCGCTGGTAGTTTTGCAGGGAGAGCCACCCCCTGGGCAGCAGCCCTGCCGAACCTTCGGGAAGTCTCCTCTCTGCGTATGGGTTTGACCGCTCATGCGCTTAGATCTTAGGTCAAAAAATGCGAAAGTCAGCGCTACAAATTATTACTCCACCACCCGGTTCCACAAGGTAAGGGGTGGGGCCAATCACTTCAAACTCAACGACTTTGGTAACGATAACAAGGGTTGCAAATGTAAAAGAAAGTGTAGAACATGTGATATAACTAATACAGATAATTACATTGTATCAAACGTTACAAATTTATACATTAACACATATAAGAAGCAGATGCAGATTGTAACGCTAAAAATGTAGTTTACTGTTTAACATGCAATGGCTGTGGGATACAATATGTTGGAATGACAGTAAGAAAATTAAAAGAAAGAATTGGAGAACATCTTTCTAATATTTTTTCACACAAGGTACACACACCGTTATATAATCACTTTTACAAATGTGATAGAGGTATAACGGTACAAGTACTAGACTGTATGAAGTCTAATGATAAAACCACATTAATAGAAAAGGAACTTTTTGGATCAAACTTCTGATGACAGCATATCCCTTTGGGTTGAACGATAACATAAAGGGATATGGAAACATTACAAATATAGATAATCCTCTCATGTACAAGGGCAATCATCCCTTCTTCTCTCTTAAAATTACAAAACAAAGGATAAATAGAGGAAAAAGAAGCAGTAAAAAAATTAAAGTAAGCACATACGATAATATTATAGCAACGATAACAAGTAATAGTGAAACACTCAAACCTATTCATTACTTCAGAATGCTCAAAAGCCTGCGTAAAGAAGAAATTAAGAAACTAATTGAACTCTCCATGTCTGCAGACTTTCTACAAAGAGTTAATAATAAGACTAGGTACTTAATATTTTGTCTGCTAGCTCATTTTCATTTTGACACTACCACAAAAGAAATCACCAAAAAGAACTATCATAATGTAGAGGTCAGTTTCAAAAGCAGGGTGTTTAATGAAATACCCTTCAACAGAATCTTCAATTCACGTACTGTTAGAGATATACTACTCAACGATAATGGAAGGAGCAGTGATTTCACCCCAATTAGAATCATTTATAAGTACAGCAACACAATGGCTAGCAAAATTTGCAATTACAACAAAGTGTTGAAAGATCTCGACAACGAAAAATTGAAGCAAATACTCAACAACGATTGTATATGTACTACAAATACAGTACAAGAATATGTGGATAAAAATCATGAACACGTTATCACAGGAAATGTAAATCTCATACAAGAAGATGGTTTCAGAAGACTACTGAGTAAAGGGACCAAATATAGATCTGACACAGGCATAACAAGACAAGAAGTTAGAATGGTGTTTGAAGATACACTCAACAAGATAATAAATTATTTTAAATATAAATACAAGGCTAGCAATCACAAGATTAATCTATTATATAAACATTTTCGTTCATGTTACCATGACAAAGTAAAACCTTTACTGACAAAGGCTAATATTGAAGATATAGGAGAACACATACCTTACAACTTAATCAAACAATATCAAGAAAAATACGTGTTCTGCCCACTCGACAAAGCAAATAATAACTATGGCATCATCTGTAAGAAGTTCTACCTTCTGAACATTATGCATGAAATGGGCATTTCTTATGATGCTGCCAACCACACATTTGTCTATGGAAATAGTAATAACACATATGAGTTGATGCCTCATACGAACAAGTATTCTTTAATATTGAAGCACAAATTCCTTTGTGTAAAGAATAATATCAATATATCCATTGATGCAGAAATACCTACTATATATGCCTTACCAAAGCTACATAAGAACCCAGTTAAATTCAGGTACATCACAGGTGCACATAGCAGTAGTATTAAACCACTGGCTCAGGAATTACGCATAATCTTCACACATCTTAAAAATCACTTCATAAACTATGCTAAAGCAATTCGGAATCGCAACAGGACTATCAAGACATACTGGTCTATAAGTAATATTAATATAAGTCACGAACTACACAACATCACGTTCGACAATCTCAAAATTTACACAGCAGATTTCACTGACATGTTCACAAATTTAGAGCATGATCTTATTCTTAAGAAAATGCAGGAACTCCTTAACATTTGCTTCAAAAATGCCAACAGATCCTTTATTGCCACTAATGGTTACCATGTTTTCTATACAGATGGTAAAGAACTCAAGAACAACTACAGATATTACAAATCCAGCGATTTAGTATACTTTATTGACTATCTTTTACGTAACAGCTTTTGTCTTTTTGCTAATAATACGTTCAAACAGACTAAAGGTGTCCCACAAGGTGGCAATTTCAGTCCACTACTAGCAGATCTTACGCTTTCTGTCATGGAATATGACTATGCTAAATCTAAAAAGTTTAATAAAACTAAGCTGTTCATCCCATATAG